CTCCGAACACCACCAGGAAGCCCAGGAAGGTTGGGAGTGGTGGAAAAGATCACACATTCTTTCTGCAAAGATCAGTCACAGGGAGAGGAGAGGTGAGCCCAGAGCCAGGAGGCAGAGGAGGGTGACAGCTCAGAACCCAGGTAGGCACCTGTGCACTAGGATGAGCTGGGTAAGAGGCTCCTGTGAGGCATTTCACCTCTTCCTACTGTCTGTGATAAAGGACTGCAGCAGGGCTGGAGAAGGGCGTGAGTAATGTTAGTGCACCCAAATAAAGTGTGCAGTGATGTGCAGCCAGGCTTCAGCAGGTTCTCTTCCTGTCTGTCAGCCATCTGGCCCCATAACTCTGGTTGCAACTGGTAGTCAATCAGTTCTCACTGCCTGGTCCAATCTGCCAGTTCTGCTGTGTGTGTGAAGGGTGGGGCTAAACATTCAAAATAAATCACAAGGGTTGGGGTGAAGTGAGTCCAGGTGATGCCCCCTTGGAGAGGACTGACCTCGTGGAGCTGCCCAGGTCCCAGTGTGCTGAACCTACAGACCTGAGCCACCATGCCAGCTGCTCTATGATTTAATGAACAGTGATAAACTCCAGATGGATGTCCTGAGCTTTAGACCCTCAAGTTACAGCTGAATTGAGACAAGCTGAAGAGTGGATCTCAGTCTTTCACGAGAGGGATGATTATGTAAAGAAGGGCCCAAGATAGACTCTCAGGATGGGCTCGTGGTGAAGTGTACTTCCTGAAACTCAACAGGACTTTTCCAATCCTTTAGTTTCTGGAAACGCAACAGTGACAGCTCCGGAAAAGGTATTCAAATCAAGGCCAACAGCTTGCTGCGCATGGAAACTGCAACTAAAGAACAATCTCATGGTGTCTGTGAAAAAGAAATGTTTCTTTTACAAGCCAAGAGCTGAAAACAATACTTGGAAGGATTATTTATAATCGGTATGGGGTACATCCAAAGAATGAAACTTGCCAAGAAGGCAAGTTTCAAACTGTTCCCAAAATGGGTTGAGTCACAATCTGACATCCTCACTGGAAACCAGAGTGGAGGTCACTGGGTCACCATAGTCACTGTGATCCTCCCCTTCCTGGGAACCGTCCTGGAGGTCTGGAGGTGCAGAGTGAGATCCCGGGGGACAGCAGACACACGGGGCTTTCTGCATTCACTGTGTGCTGAATGCTTACAGCACCTACCTCAGGTGGCAAGACCCTGTCTCCTTCTGACTTCCCACACTTCCTGCTGGCCACACAGCAAGGGGATGAGGTTCAGGTCCTCTTTGCATCCATTCTTCTTTCTCCCATGCTGTTCGCAGGCCCAGGGTTTTCATTTCTGTTTTGTTCATAGGGCGATGATGAAATCCAGCACCTTGTGCTTGACAGGCTCGACCTGTTCTGCTGAGCCATTCCCAGCCCGAGGCTTGAGCTTTACTGAACATGCAACTGCCCATTTCAAGTCTGTGATGCTAGTTGTCGAGTCTTGGGAACGTGACTTAGTGCCTCAGTTTCTCTGCTCGTGTATAAAGCTGTGATTAACAACATCCTGGCAGAGCAGTAACAGGATGAACAGTGCTTAAATTGGGGCCTGGTATAGAGCATGTGATCCATGATGCTCACTTTGAACTTCTGGTCTGCAGAGAAAATACGGGCAGCTGTTTGCTGGTGCTGCCCACTTTCCGTCCAGAGGAGGAGAGAAACTCCAGAGACCACGCTGTCACTGAGATGCCCTCGCCAATGCCCTCCTGCTCCAGGCTGGCTCTGAGAGAAGCTCAGGAAGCCGGACCTCCTGTCCCAGAATCTATCCTTGGCATCAGAACTGGTTCCCTCCGAGAGTTTCAATTTGAAGGATTATGATTGGGAAGGTTTTTAAAAACACAAGTGGTCTTTAGCTGCACTGGGTTACACCTGAGACACTCATCATACAGTGAAAATGCTATAAAGTTAAAAATGTGACGAGAGACCCTGGCCTGCCTAACCCCAGGACATAGCACTAGTCCTGGGTATTTCCCACGACAATGTGGGTGGTGGGAGCTGTAGCTCCCTGGTTCTGCCCAGCTTCACAGCAGGGTCACATTGGGCTACAGCCTCACAAAAGCCATTTTGAATCACTAAGAGTGGAAAACCAGTGTCATTGCTCTTGCCTATAAGATAACTAGGAAACATACACAATGACCATGTCACTAAAAATAATCCTTTAAAAAGTTATTAATTCAAAAGTCAGAAGAAAAAAGTTGTATTTCCCAAGAGAGAGACAGGAAAATGTGCTTAACGGATCCGCACCTCATTTGGGGAAGGTGAGAAGGGTTTGGGGGTGATTAGTGGAAATGGGTAACAACAGTGTGAATACACTGAATGTCCCTAGAATGGACATGGACATGGTCAAGTGACAATTTTTCTCACATACATTTTACAACAATGAAAAGGGAGGGGAAAGGCTCGTAAATTCCCCATAAGCAATGCTGGTGGCCCACAGCCTGGAGTCTGAGGCTGCCCTCTGGAAGGTACAGGAGCCACACTGCAGCGGGGGAAGCATTGTCCCAACCAGAGCCTTTCTTCCCCAGGTCATCAGAAAGCTTCAAAGATCCTTGACAGGAAAACACTTTCTCACTGCAGGGCTTCAGGTCCTTTAACTGTGCATCCTAGCACTGCCTGGAGACCCAAGGTCAGCACAGTGGTCCACAACTGCTGGACCTGCAGAGCAGACTCCTGGCCTGTTCTTCACCTTAAGGCCAGAAGCACGATCATGAAGATCTTCGGTGTCTTCGTTCTCTAAGAGTTGAAGAAGGACCAGGCAGAGCAGCCATCCAGTGACACCAGGCCCTAAGGACCCACAAGGAAGTTCAAGGTGCTGGTACTGAGTGTGATGGAGATGGAGTCAGTGCTGGACCCAGTGTCACAGAGTCTTAGGAAGGAAAGCGACCACACCCAGCCTCACATCTGAGCTCCTCACCATTCCTCCTCAGGTCCTTTACTCACAAGCAGCACCTTGCATTGCCTGGATGTCCTTTGAGCCTGTATTCCCTGGCCCAGTAAGCCAGGCTGGCAAGTGGGTGACAGGAAGACACAGGCCCCACTGAGTGCATGCTTTGAGTACACCCTGGAGGGGCACAGAGTGAATGTGAGGAACAGGGAGTGCCATCTGTATACTCTGTAGTTAGCTGCCCTGGGTGTAGTATTTGTGCTTCTATATTTAAAATACTCCTCTCTGGTTTTGGGGATAGGGCCACCTGAGCCTCCCCGTATAATTCATTGGTGGAAATATTTACATGAAATTCATTTTATGTTAACCATCATGGGCATGTGTGCATCCTTTTAGAAACAAAAGCTACTCCAAATTAGAGATTGGGGCTGGGGATTTAGCTCAGCAGCCTTAAGTACCTGCCTGGCAAGTGCAAGGTCATGAGTTTGATCCCCTGGTCCCCCAAATATAGATAGATATAGATATAGATATAGATATAGATATAGATATAGATAGGGTGGGGGTTTGCCACCACCCAGACAAAGCACCCACAAAGAACAGCCAGGCCATGTGTTCTTCTTTGAACTGGCCACATGGGGACTGTAGCGCTTGTCGCAAGTGAGTGATGGGGACAGGGTGGGGAGACTAGGCATGGGGCAGGAGCTGAGCCTCACCCAGGGCTCATCTTACAGAGTGTGAGGAGGGAGGGTGCTGTTCTCCATGCCAGCTCTTTAGTGAAGGCCTTGCCCACTGCCCATATGGCTTTTGTCCTGGTACCACCTGGTTCATTAGGCTTGGACAGTAGAACTTCGACACAGGGCAAAGGCAGACACATCCTCCTATAGGAGGAGGACTAGGTGGGCTGAAGTCTGGCATCCTTGACTACCTGAGAGACAGCCTCTCTGAAGTGCAGCCAGCCAGGACTGCTGAGTATGAGACGCAGCTGTGTCTCCTTCAGCTCAGCACCAAGGAAGGGTGCAGGAGGGGGCGAGTGGCTGCCCGGCCAATGCTGGCTCAGGTTCTGAGTGTTCCCTCCTCCCAGGCTCCGTCCCTTGCTTCCCCTCTCTTCCCTGTACTTCCACTTCTAGCAGCAGCTACTCCAGTGGGAAGACAGAGAAAGAGGCTCAGAAACTCAGGAAAGCTTTGAGTCCTGATCAAGAGAAAGGAATCTGAACAGTGTGGTCAAGACTTCAGCCAGCAAGACCAGGGCTGCTCACCTGTGTACACATGTACACACACATACACACACACAGAGAGACAGAGAGAGACAGCGAGAGAGAGAGAGAGAGAGAGAGAGAGAGAGAGAGAGACAGAGAGAGAGAGAGACAGAGAGAGAGAGAGACAGAGAGAGAGAGAGACAGAGAGAGAGAGGAAGAGAGAGAGAGAGAGAGAGAGAGAGAGAGAGAGAGAGAGAGAGAGAGAGAATCTCCTGGTTTCTGGCCATAGTACAGACTCTCATTTAGCAGATCTGGTGTGGGATTTGAGACTGTGCATTTGTAACCAGTTTCCCATGTTATTGCTGCCCGAGAACCACACACTGACCCCTGTGCCGGTTCCTAAGGGACCAAGTTGTTGATGGAATTAGCAGATGCATTGGCACCACATGGAAACTGGCCTGGGCTCTTTGATGTTTCTGGTGGCTGCCAGATCCTTGGTACTGAGACACGTAGCTCTTGGACCTTCTCTACTCCTCCTGTCAGACACCCACCATCTCCTGTTCAGGCACAGGTCCTCTGGCTTCTTCACTCTCTCATGACTGCCATACACTGTGTCCCAGGCTTTTTTCCACTCAGGAGCATGGAGGTGTATCCTACATTCACCCAACTATAAAATTCCCACATTAGAGACCCGTGGCTAATGTTGTGAACCCCATGTGCTTTCTCCAGCACCTCTGTGGGCTTTGTAAGGAACCCCATGTGTCAGGACCCTCGCTCTCAAAGGGAACCTGTACCATCCCATTTCTCTTCCATCGGCAGGGACTCTCAAGTCTACAGACTCCAAAAGGACTCTAGACTCACTAATGAAGCAATCATTCCACACGAGTGTGCCAGTAACAATAGCATTTCCTTTTCTTTATTTTAAAGAGGCCAGGGAAGGGAAGTGCACAGCACTGAGGAAGTTGGTGCTCAGTTGGTGGAAGCCAGCAGGACTTCACCAAGGGAGCCTCCCCAGAGGGAGCAGTATTGAGGCAGGGTGCAAAGCCAAGGAGGGAAATTAAAGGTCACAAGAATGGAGGGCTGTGGATGTCACCTTTTCCCTCCAGTGCTGCAGCTGTGACTTGGGACCAGCATGGGATCGCACAGAGAGCAGGGAAGGTGTGTGAGAGCCTTGTGCAGGATGGGCCTGGGCTGGATGTATGGAAGGCTCAGGTCCTCCCTCACTGCCAGAGGAATGCGCCTGCAAGCTCAGCTGTGTGTCAAACCTTGGGCCACCATCTGCTCAGATGGTAGGGCTCAGAAGCTGGGGCTGAGAAAGGAAGTGGACAGGAAGGAGACATAGACAGCCACGTTCCCAGCCCTTTACTGGGCCCTCGAGACCGCATGAACCTGCACATCCATAAGCTTGATGTCACCATTTATTTCCAGGCCTTTGACAGCTGACAGGTCCTTCAGGCGGTAAATGTATTCCAGCAGGTGTTGGCCATTCACGGCCACCCTGTAGCAGTGGGCTTCGCATATGATCTCCACCTGGACAGAGAGACCTTGCCACTCACACTCCAAGCATGCAGTCCTCAGCCCTCACTGAGGGCTCGGGGGCCCTCCTTCTCCATCTTGTTCTTCTCCCCCTCGCCTGCACTGAAGGACCTGCTCCTCCCTAAACACCCTATACTCTCCTCCCCTGGATCTCAGCACAAGGGATTCTCAGCCCACAGTGCTGCTCACAGCCTGCATCCCTGCCCCCTGTGTAACTCCTAGGCCCCTCAGGCCCCTGACCGCTCCTGCGAAACTTTGCTACCCCAACTGAGTTCTCAGGAGCCAAGTGCCTCCTCAGGCCATCAGGGGCAGCAGTGCTGGCCTGTGAAATCTGTGTCTCCCATGTCCATGCCTGGACTCCACAGTAACAGCAGCAACAGCAACCCTCTGATTCATCCTTTCCAGTCCAGGACCCTGTCCAAGGAGCAGTCCGTGTACAAAGGGCACTGATGACACTGCATCATGCTTGCGTGGAGTGCCATGTCCTAGTGTGTGCACAGCCTGCCTTGGTCCATTCCCACAACTCTCTGAGGTCAAGGGACTCTTAGCTCCCTGTGTAGATGAGGAAATGGAGCTGCAAAGACCCAGTGACTGTCCCTAGTCGAAGGGCCCTGCCTCAAGTTCATACAGCTCTCTATAAATGAAAGACAATGCTCCTTGCTCTAGCTCCCCAGTGCCTTCTCCCTGTAGTAAAATCCAAGCTCCCTTCACAGCCCACGAAGCTCTACACCAGTAATTCCCAACCCAGACTGTAGGGTGCGCTCATCTAGGGCAGAACTTCCACCTAAGCAAATGCCAGGGCTGACAGTCTCCAAGGCTGGGGGCAAGAACAAGTATCACAGAACAACCTTCCTTTCCCTTCCTTCCTTCCTTCCTTCCTTCCTTCCTTCCTTCCTTCCTTCCTTCCTTTCTTCTTTAATTTTTCTTTCCTTGTACTACTATGGAGTCAACCAAGGGCCTTCACCCTGAGGTACATCCCTTCTCCTAGCTTTAATTTTTTCTCCTTGAGATAAAGTGTCCCTAAGTCACTAAATTCCCCTTGCTGAGCTCAAATTTGCAAACCTTTTGCTTTGCCCTGCCAGAGAGCTACTGTTATGGATGCATGTGCCACGGCACCTGGCTTTTTTCTTTTTGTTTTTGTGAGCTCTGTGTGGGACCTGAGTGTGTCATCTGGACAATCAGGCTGCAGCCACACTCCACACCTCTCTCTCCCTCACTCTGCACTGCAGCTCTGGACAGGCCCCTCTGTCCTCTGCACTGGGATCCCCCCAGCCCAGAGCCCTGGTCCTTATCTATGTTGACTGGCTCACGCATTGCTTTCCTTGCTCCTCCCCAACTAGATTTCAGCCCAATGGGCTAGGACCTGCTCTCTCTGCTTCCTTCCTGAACATGACTATTTCTTGTAAGCCTGCTCAAAGAGCTGGTAAATAGTTGCCCAATGAATACGCAAATCAATGACCAGCACCTCATTCTTAAGATTGATTTGGTACTAATGAGTATGTGACCTCTGGCAAGTAACTTTTCCTGTGACTTTGTTTGCTTATCTATTAAGAGCACATACTGATACTTTCCTTGGGGGTCAATAATCACATGATAATAGTTTGTTGCACATCTCTCTTCCTTGGGGGCACAACTCTACTATCAAAAGTTATCAACCCCTGACCTGTTCAAGGTACTTCAAGGCCTCCTCTACCTCTTATCAACTTGTACCCTGCAAGCCCCCAAGCTCCAGGGTGCAACATCTTACTTTGAAGCTCTTTCCTGGAGTGAAGGGCATGGTGATAGGCAGCCTTCGCTCTTCTGTCCCCCAGTGGCCCTGGATTTGACTGTTCCGGACCACGGTGTTTTCATCGAATCGAGGGTTCAGGTGAAAGGCAATGTTGCTATCAGTGCACAGGTTGATATAGAACCTGGGGTAGATTGATAACATGGTACCTCTCTGTCCCCCTAAATAGAGCCCCATCCCCTCTCCCTTATTTCCAGGAGCTAGAGAGCCCCGGAGGCCCTGGCTTACCTCGTAGCATTGGGCAGCACAGTGCCTGACACACTGATGACCTGGGATGGCTGCAGCCCACCTGAGATGGAGGTGAAGTAAGGGATCGGCTGTTGGGAGGATGGGGACAGGTCAGCTGGTGACAGCAGAGAGGCATCACTGCCATGGGGAATTCTGTACCAATTGTCATGGAGTTGGCTATCAGCTGAGTCTGAAACCATGCTTGACAGTAGTACGACTTTCAGAGGAAGCCAGGAGTCTTCCTTTGGGTGGCCAAATGCCAAGGAAAAACTTTTCAGTGTTTCCAAAGCAGGAGGCCTTCACTGTCATGGAAGGAACTTGGGACAGACACTATAAGTATTCCAGGGTGATAAGCAAAGGTCATAGAATTAGGTCACAACCAGGGAACCATTTGAAAGTACAAACTCCTTTCAAAATCACTCTAATTTCATGAGAATTTTTTTTTTTGTCTTTTTCCTTTTTATCGGTACCGGGGATGAAACTCACGACTGCCTGCTTGCAAGGCAGGTGCTTATGCCGCTGAGCTAAATCCCCAGCCCCTTTTCATGAGAATTTTTTAAAATTTCAGCTTGATAAAGGACCCTTTTCAATTCTGCAAATCAGAGGATCCCGACCAGCTGCCACTAACCACCTACCCCACCACAGCAAATGAAATCTCCAGCCACAAACCACACAATACTCACATAAGATTTAGCTTCTGCTTCAGGATCCTGTGGAAAAGAGACCAATAATCTTAATGTGTTATAGCGTATACACGCACACGCACTCAGAGAGCTATGAGACAGGAGAGTGCAGTTTATATTTTAAGCTTGAATGACCAAGGCTACCTTGGAATCTAGAGGTGTGACAGCCAGTGAGGGAGTTTAGTGGAAACAAAGCAGGGAACAGCTTTGATTTCCCTGTGTAAAACCATGGCACTACGGATTGGCTCCCTGGACAGCTGCCTGTGCCAGGAGCTGTGATGTTGGAGAAGTCCCCTCACCTGCCTGTGTCATGGGCTCTGTACCATGGGACATTAGGACTACACATCCTGCTTGTTAAAAAACCTCTGAGTACGAGGACAAGTGAAGGCTCCATAATTGACTCACATTCAAGGGACCATTTCAAAGTTGAAAGCTCCTTTCAAATTTATTCTAATTTTCAAGAGTATTTTTTGAATTTGACTTCATAAAGGACAGGTTTTAATTTAAAAGTCAGAGCCTCACCAGCAGGTGTCACTTGTCATAGCAAGTGACCCACCTGTCATAGCAAACGACAGCCCCCACACATCACTTACATGAGCTTTGTGTTGTGCTTCAGAATCCTGTGGAAAAGAGACCAACAAACAATGTGGGAGGGTCACTGGCGCAGCGCGCGCGCGCGTGCACACACATACACACACACACACAAACATACATTCATTCTGGAGGAGCCACTCCAATATGAATGAGGTTCAGAGGGTTAAGTTTTGGGTATCTTCTGGTTAACTTGGTTGCCACAGCAACTATTCTGGACCTTCCTGCTCTGTCCCTGGATCCTATCACCGCCCTTTCACAACTCCATGCTGCAAGGAACCTACTGAAGGCAGAATGATATCCCTGTTCCAGCCGCTCCAGGGTCAGAATCAACCACACTCCCATCCCATCCCTGGAATATAGAAATGTGACCTTAACAGGAAATGAGTCTGCCCATGGGACTAAATTAAGACTCTGATTCTGGCAACATGGTCCACACACTGAGGGTCAGGTGGGTCCTTTGTGATCACAACAGTCTTGGTATGAGACAGGTGGGAAACACAGGGTTATAGGACTAAATGTCACAACAGGAACAGGAAGATGCTGGCTTCCATCTTGTACCCTGTTCTGTGTTCCAGACCGAGTACTCAACCAGTGTTTACCACTGAACTTCACCCCTGGGCCTAAGAAGCTCCAGGCTATGGAGACAGAGGGAGGAGCCTGAGCAAATGTATGCAGGTCCCTCAATAAGCTGCAAAGGAAACAGAGATGCACTTCTCTCGAGCCTCTGGAAGAAAATGAACTGACTGTGCCTTTCATTTACTTTCCCTGAGGTTGAGATCCACAGTCTTCTAGACACCCATAACCACTGAGCTGCCCCTCAGCCTTTAACACTTGGTTATTAGACCTCTTACCCACAGAGCTAGAAGACAATATACTGCAGTTTGTATTGTTTTAAACTTGGATAACCAAGGCTGCTATGGAATTTAGAGGTGTCAATGTCTGTAACAGAGCTTAATGGAAAACAATGGGACCAGCTTTGCCTCCCTTGGCATTAGCTAAATTTTCCTTCATATTAAGACTCAGCTAGTGGCCAAAGGATGCAGCATCAGGAGCCCTTCGGGATGTAGTTCTGCTATATCTTAGTCGGTGTCTACTGCATCCTGGGCTTGACTACATCCTTCAAGTTGCCTCTTAAGTCTCCTGATGACTAACACACTGTGTTCTAGAACGCATTCTACTTGGTGATGAATTAAGGCCATACATTCTTCTTGCTAAAAAAGCCTCTAACTGTGGGGATAAGTGGAGGCCATATAATTGGCTCACTCTCAAGGGACCATTTACTGTTGAAAGTGCCTTTAAAATTATTCTAATTTTCATGTCTACTTTTCATATTTCAGATTGATAAAGCACTCTTTTTAATTACAGAAGTCAGAGGATCACCACCAGCTGCCACTCACCACCAAACTCTCTTAGCAAATGAAATCTACGGCCAACACCCACATACCACTTACGTGAGTTTTGGGTTTTGGTCCAGCATCGTGTGGAAAAGTGACCCACATATTTAAATTCAGATTATTATGGACGCACACATATGTGCACACATACATGCTCATTCTGGAGGATTTGCCCCAGCATGCATAGGGTTGAGAGGGTTCAGCCCTCAGTATCTTCTGGTGACCTCGGTTGTTATAACAGTCTTTCTGGATCTTCCTGCTCTGTCCCTGGATCCTATCTCCTGGCTTTCCTAACTTTCTGTTTCAAGGAAGCCACTGGAGCCACAATGACACCCTTGTCCCAGTCCCCCAAGGTCAGAAACAACCACACTCCCATCCCACTCCTGGAAGCTATCAATGTGACCTTGACAGGAAAACGGTCTGCAGATGCAACTAAATTAAAGCCTAAGGCTGGCAATGTGGGCCCCACACTGAGGCCCAGGTGAGTCCTTTGTGGTCACCTTGTATAAGACAAGTGGGATGCACAGGGTCAAAGGAGAGGATGTGAAAACTCAGGCAAGAAGATGTTGGTTTTTATCTTTCACTTGAACCCTGTGTTGTGTTCCAGACCCAGTACTCAACCAGTGTTTACCACTGAACTTCACCCAGGGCTAAGAAGCGCCTGGCTAATGGAGACAGAGAGAGGAGCCTGAGCTAATGCATGTAGGCCCTCAAGAACCTGTAAGGGAAACAGAGATGCATCTCCCTGGAGCTTCTGGAAGAAAATGAGCTGACCATTCTTTCATTTATTTTCTCTGCAGTACAGAGGCTCAAAGCCACAGTGTTCTAGCTGCCTCTAAACACTGAACTAAACCTCAGTTTTTCAACGTGGGCCTTTCATTTTCTGCCCTGCAGAGTTATAAGACAATGCAGTGCAGTTCATATTGTTTTAAACTTGGATGACCATGGCTACCATGGAATTAGAAGTGTGCAGGTCAGTGAGGGAGCTTAGCACAGATCAATGGGGCCCGCTTGGCCTCCCACCATGCAAAGCCATGGAGCTATTTCCTCACCCCACAGGGTTAGCTCCTGGACCAGCTCCTTATGCATGCTGTTGTGTTGTTGGACAGCTCACCTCACTCTCTGTGTTCTGGGTCCCTTCCACCTGTTGGGACATTAATGCCACCCTCCTGACTGGGATGACAAGCAAAGGTCATAGAATAAGCTCACCCTCAAGAGACCATTTCAATGTTGAAAGCTCCTTCCAAAATAATTCCAATTTTCAGGAGTATTTTTTAAATTTCATCTTGTTAAAGGACCCTATTTAATCACAGAAGTCTGCGAATTACCACAGCTGCCACTGACCACCCACTCTGCCATAGCAAATGAAATCTCTGGCCACCACCCACACACCACTTACATGACTTTGTGGTTCTGGTGCAGGTTCCTGTGAAAAAGAGAAATTGAATGTGGAAGTGTCATTGGCACACACACATGAAGACACACACACACACACACACACTCATTCTGGAGAGGCCGCTCCACTGTGAATGAGGTTGAGAGGATTCAGCGCTGAGTTTCTCCTAGTAACACTGGTCATCAGAGCAAGCTTTCTGAATCTTCCTGCTCTGTCTCTGGATCCCATCACCTCCCTTTTTCATCTCCACGCTGCAAGGAAGCCACAGAAGCAGAAGGACACCCTCATCCCAGCTCAAGGTCTGGCTGGGGAGTGGCTCAAACAAGCAACTGTTTGCATTAACACAAATTAGTACCTCAGAGGGTTGCAAACTTGTTCCCCTGCCCTGGGGGTTCCTGGAGGCAACTTTTTGTCCTCTTCCTGCCTATAGGTCCAGGAAGCAGAGCAGACCCTTAAAGCCAAAGTATAGCATCCTCTTTCTGGTGCTCCAGTGTGACTGGGGGACACAACTCCAGTCTGGTGAAACAAGGCTGACCAGAGTGCACAGCTGTTAGCCAAAGGACCCTGCTGGTCACCCACCTTTGGAGTCTGTGTTATCTTGTTTTTCTCATAGCAACCTTTACCATTGTCACTGTCACTTTTATGCATGAGACAACTTTAGCACAGAGAGGTTTATAAGGTGCACAAACCCCACAGCTGCTCAGTGAGCGAGCTGGGATCTGAACCCCAGGACTCATGCTTTCAAGCCCAACCCAGGCTGCCTATGATACAGCAGAGAGCATCCTTATTCCTGCCCCCCACCGGGTCCCCCTGGCTGTGGACTCAGCTTCATTCCTGGCCTGAGGAGAAGGCTGCTAGAACAGGGAATCAGGTGCCAGAGTCAGGCAGGGCTCTGATTGCTCAACTGCGCTGTCTTTGCGTGACTTCCTGCCCAGCCAGCATTTGCAGGATGTGTGCTTGCCTGCAGCTGTGAGATCTCAGCAGGTCACTGCGGGAGGCCAGCTGCATGATGGGTCCTGCCTACTCCATAGGGTGCATAGGCCTCTTTCTTTCAGTACCCAAGGCCTGTTTAACTCTCAGTTTCTGTACTTTCTCAGCTGCTGAGGAGCCAGAGAAGCGAGGCACTCTGACCCACTATCGCCACACAGGTCCCATCCAGCTTTCACCAGCCTCTCCCAGCTCCTCCTTGAAGGTCCCACTATGGGAACAATGGCGGTGCTGAGGGGCGTGGACCACAGCGGCAGGCCTCAGGGGGTCAGAGCTAGAGGGTCCCCTACTTGAGTGAGCGCCCCTCCCAGCCAAGCGCCATCTTGTTCGTAGGCTCTATGGCTCCCTCTATTCATCCTCTTCCTGTGTCAGGTACTTGGTTGGCAGTGACCTCGGGAAGGATTGGGACCAGGCTACCACGTTCCTGCTTTCCCACAGTGTTGCTCTCTCTGTGGGCAGCCCTCTTCTGGCGGTGAATCCAGGCATCTTCCTCAGCTTTCCACGGGAGGACGCTGGCCAAGTGCCTCAACCTCAGGGCATCAGTTTATCCACAGAGGAAGAGGGAACGAGAGCCCTGCAGTGTTTACCCACTGCCTCTGGCAGGCAGTAAAACTGAGGGAAAGCCTTCTCTTTGAATTCCACACGGAAGGCCCAGTCCTCATGGTTCCTTGCTTCTCAGGTGGGCTCTGTGCAGACAGCCAGGTGCAGCGTTGCCTACTGAACTCCAGCTCACCCCTCAGGACACAGACACCTCTTTGGAGACCTCCCCCACCGATACGATATCTCTAACCGTGCTCAACACTCCCAAAGCAGCTGCATCCAGACACAGTAGATAACATATATTTCTCACTCTCTCCCCTACTCTTGGAGGTGGGCGTGAGTATTATGCCCATTATACAGACATGGAAACTGTGGCTCAGAGAGGTAAATGTACTCTGACTGGAGCCATTCCTCTAAGTTAATGGCTGAACCCCAGAGGTCATCACAGGGAAAGTGGATTTAGTGCCATTTGTGTGGGCTGTGGTCCTCCCAGAAGCCTTTTAATGTTCTCTTTATGCAAACTGTCACCTGTGAAGATCCTAATAGGCTTGTCTGCTGTGAACACCTAGGATGGAGCAGACATCCAGAGGGAGGTCAGTAATGAGGGTGACATCCCTGACTCAGGTTAACATCCCTGTGTCCCAGAGGCTGCCTTGGATGAGGCTGCCATGGGAAAGAAGCTGCATCCATGTGTCCTCCTCTGGCCTTTCCCCCCTCCTTAGGTCTCTTTGGGATCCCCACCACCACTCCCTGCCACCCAGCCATTTCCTCAGTGACCCAGAGTGGCTCCTCCCTGGTGGTGCAGCCAGCTCCCTCTGGGCCAGCCCGAAACTCACCTGTTCAGGTTGGCTTTGATAAGATCCCATCTTTCTGGGGCCTCTTTGTCACCTGCTGCCTTTCACACCAACTGAGCTGCCACCGCACAGAGCTGGTCTATTTAAGGAAACAGATAGCAACACAGTTTGGCAGCTGCTCAACAGGGAGGAGCCAGGAGCAAGGAAGCCTACATAGAGAGAGAGAGTGATGTGCTGGGGTGGGATGGGGTGGGGTGCAGGTCAGCATGGCCTCCAGGGAAGGCCCACTCCCAGAGCAGCGGCCTTCTCTCCTTCCTCCTTGTCGTGAGTGTCTTAGAGCACTCTGAACTCCGGGAAAGGTAAACACGCACACACGCCTGATCGGGACACGGGGGGTACAGTGCTCGGAAAGGAAGACAGGACACGGCACCTTTACTGTCTGGACCGCGTTACACTGCACTGCACCACAATCTTTATTTTAGGATTCATATATAGTAAACCCGATCAGTTCACAGAGCCCAGATAATTAAGTGGTGAAAAGGCATTCTTTGTGGCAAGCTACAACGTGACAGACTACAATGTTTATTCTAAAACTATCTAAGTGAAGTAAATAATCACAACCAGTTCTCATAACTTCTCTAGCCCAGGAAGAAATTCATTAGCTCAAGAATGTTGTTAATTTGTCTGCTGTTAGTGTCACAAAGGGTGGCCAGCCACTTCCTCAAGACTTCTGCAAAACAAAGCCAGCTCACAGTATGGATTCCAGAGGGTGAGGGGTCTCACTGAAAACAGGCATTCCTATTCTACCTCCGTCTCGCATACCAGGGCGGCTGTTGTAAATTGCAGGTTAGAGGGGGTTGGGCCTACAAAGTGACACCTCATCCCCCACACCTCCTCTTGCCCACTACACAGAGACAGCATGCTATTTGGTCCATGAAGGTGGAAAGTGGGATGGCAGTGCATTTGTAGACTGCACTGCTCAGAGTGTGTGCTGGGCTTTCTAAACACGTACCATCCCAGATGCAGGGAGCCCCGGGCTGGGCAGGGGCAGTGGTGGGGAGGCTGCTTCTGCCCTTGAGCACACAGAGAAATGGGACTCAGTGTGAGAGGGGTGTGCCCAACATTGGGCAGCGCATGCATGGCCACTTGAACTCTTTGAGAAATCTTGGGATCTTGTGAAATTATTTCTTCCTTTTAAGTTTCTAAACCTCATACAAAACCATGATTAGAGAGAAAACTTTTGGCAAAAACCACCGTTCTAGACACTTTTATTCTATAGGAATGTGTACCCCGAGAGCTTCCAGTTCCACTCTATGAATTTTTTCCTTCCTTCCATTATCTCCGTTTTCCATGAGTTTTGGGATGGAGAGAGAAGTTGTACACTGAAGGAACACGGAAGCAGATGTAAGGAACATTACAAGAAGTTGCTTTTAATCACAGTAAGGAAATGATTGGCTTTAAGAGAAAGAGTAGCATAGGCTGGTGGTGGAGAGGAGGGTGACAATAAGTTCACTGAAGTCACTCAGGGCCCTGCTGCAGGAAACTGAGGCCACTTCACAAGCTAGGGAGGAGCTGCTGAATGCTGCTATGGCCTCAAAGAGCTGGCTCAGTCCCCAGTGCACCAGGGCTAGGAAGTGGGCTGGAGTGGAGGTGGAGGGGTCTGCAAATCTCTCATCTATTAATGCTGATCATAAAAGGGCATGAGCCTCAAAGAAGAGCTCTTTGTTCTCGCTTGTGTCCTCATTTATTCTTCCACCTTGCACCTTCTTCCATGGCTGACGCTGCAGGAAGGCCCTGGCCAAGCACCAGTGCCTTGGTATTAGACTACCAGGCCTCCAGAACAGTGAGAAAACAATTCCTGTCATTTATGAGTTACCTGGTCTGTGGCAAAATGGGCTAAAGCAAGTCTCTTCTGGGCACGAAGAGAATAAGATGTCCTGGGCCACGCACAGGTCCTTGCCTCGCTTTGTTCTTATGCTTTGAACAGAGGCATTAAAATTTTCAGTGACAACTTCTTGCGCATCCTCCCAAGGTGGAAGCCATGTCACCCCTCTGCACCCTGCATCCCAGGTATGTTCCTCATTCAACCAGAGTTTGGCTGACTTTAAGGAGCAGAGAACTCAGTTGGAGCAGAAGAAAGGGAGAGGAAGGGAAACACTTCCTAATACTCTGTAACATGACAGGCACTGGTGAGGCTATTTCGTTTGCAGGCATTTGCCAGTTGTTTAGAATTTGGACCAAATAGAAAACACATCATATGAGGGTAGAGTACACAGTGATACATCCCAGAACCAGGGTTGGGAATGCATGGCTTCTGTCCCATATCTCCAGAGGATGAGGTAGGAGGTTCGTATAAACCAAGGAGTTTCAGATCAGCCTGAGCAACACAGAGAGACCCTGTTTCCTGATAATAAAAACAAAAAGGGAAAGAGGGAAAAAAAGGTACAGTTTATAACTGGACTGTACAGTGCAATATCTTCTTTGTTCAGCTATTCTGCTCCGTACTGTGAACCTCAGAGAGAGGAAACCACGGAGTGTTCAGAACAGCTCTAGCATCACGGCCTCAACCTGGAAACAGCCAAATGTTGGCCACAGGAGAAAGGAGACAGAAACTGTGGCTCTCACACAATGGAGCAAACGGAGCTGGATTCAGGGAACAACACGGATGACAGTCACTCCCAGGGGAAGCAGCCAGCACAGACGACTCCAGCTCCATCAGGGCCAGTGCAGCTCTGATTTCTGGTTTTCCCTCAGCCGCTGCTTGGGAGAGGCATGAAGGAGTCCGTGAAGGCTGCGGATGCTTCCATCCTGGTGGGATTGGTGTCCCACAGGCTCCTATATGCGTAAAACACATAGCAAACCAGGACCTTGCCATTTTCCTATGGGTAAATGATATTTCAATCAAATCCTATTAGAGAAACAAATCTCCCAGATGCAAAGAAGTCACAGAGCCACCTGAGCTCTCGAAAACCAGTGGCTCAGTGTGGCCCTGTGCCTTGGAAGGGAGTCATGGTGAGGCTTCTCCGTGGTGAGTACAACCCCAGAGAAGGACTCCCCTGCACACCCCACGGTGGATCCACAGGCAAAGAAGGACACCAGTGTGTCTACACTCAGCAATGTGGGGGGAGGTGTCTTGGAAGCACAGGGCCAGGCTGCAGAGAATTCTGATCTAGGCATCGTAGGGATGATCACTGAGTCACAGTGAGTCACAATCCAGTCCCAGGCACAACTCTGCACTCAAGCAGGACCCTAGAAGTGCTGCTTCTCAGAGCTGTTATCAAAATCCCAGACTCTTGCTTGCTGCTATCTGTTCCCTGCAGTCCAGACCGAGGTTCTTTTCAAAACATGATCAGACACCTCATTGCTAGGAGAAACACTGCTGTAAAAAAAACCATCAGCCCGGTGCAGCTTCACAAGCTTTTGACCCCAGCTACTCAAGAGGCTAAGGTGAGAGGGCCTCAAATTCAAGACCAGTCTGAGCAGCCTACAAACCCTGTCTTAAAGCCACAAATATTGAAAGAGCTGAAGATGTAGCTCAGTGGTAGAGAGCCCCTCATTCAGGGGCCCAAATGCCCTCTCAAATGTGTGAAAGCTGGCTAGCTAGGGACAGGTTTTCTTTAAAGCTCAGGTAGGGCAAAGAGTCCAATACTGACCTTTAAGAAAGTAAAGCATGAAATAGTTATAAGAAAATAGTTATTTCTAAGAGTCTAAATTTGGAAAATGAAAAGACTTTCTGAGTAGTGCACACAACAGAAAACGAATAAAGGAAAAGACTATCAGACTTCATAATGTAGAACAAGGGAGAAAATCAGAATGCCCAGTGCTAAAGTCCAATTAAGTTGTATACAAAGAGTTCTTACAAATTAACAAAAATCAACAATCAAAAATGATGCAAACACACATAAAGGCAGTTTCTCACAAAATAAATGCAAAGAAGTAGCAAACAAATATTACAATCAGACTCACTTGTGCTTGGACTAGTGCAGTGTTAAAAGCCATCTGTGTAGGACAGACCAACAGCCAACATCTTACTGAGTGGAGAGAAGCTGAAAGTTTTCCCTCTAACATCAGGAACATGACACTGATGCCCACTGTGAATGTGCCTGTTCAGTATAGTTCTTGGAACATTAGTAGAGCAATTAGACAAGAGAAAAAATAAAAGTGATATGGATAGGAAAAGAAGTAAAGTGACCATAATTGGCAGATGATGTGACCCACTACATGCAAGTTCCCAAAAACTTCACCAGAAGACTGCTAGAATTAATAACAAAATTCAGTAGATGGCAAGACACAAAGCCAACACTCAAAACGCAGTAGTGTTCCTGTACATCAATAATAAACTCACGAGAGAAATTAGAGACACAATACCTTTCTTAATGGTATCAAGAACAACAAAATATGTCAGAATTAACATAACCGAGGAAGTGAAAGACCTCTACTCTAAAAACTGCAGTACTCTACAAAAGGAGTTCCAAGAGGGTACCAGAATATATCCCCTGTTCATAATATAGGCAGAATCAATATAATCAATATGACCATGTTTCTGAAACTGTTACACAGATTTAATGCAATCCCAGTCTCAACCCCAATAGTGTTCCTCACAGAACTAGAGAAAGAAATCCTTAAATCCATGCGGAACCAGAGGAGACCTAGAAGAGCAAAAGCCATTTGGGTAACAAGGGGAAGACAGGAACTGTCACGATCCCAAACTTCAAGTTGTATTACAAAGCTACAGTGATAAAAACAGCATGGTATTAGGAGGACAAAAAGACTTGTGACTCAATGGACCATAATGGAAAACGCAAAAGAGATACAAGCACCCAGCTATCTTATCTTTGACAAAGTGGCCAAATACTTTTGCTGGAGGAAAGATATCTTCTTTAACAAATGGTGCTGGGAAACCTGGCAGTCTGCATGTTGAAGATTGAACCTACACCTGTATTGCTCACCTTCCACTAAACTGTAATCAAACTGTATGAAAGATCTCAATATTAAATCAGAAACACAATCCGATGGAAGACAAAATAGGTACATCTTCTGAAGACATACACTGACTTTCTGAACAGAATCTAGGTTGCACAAGAAATAATATCAAAAATCCACAAATGCCATCATATCAAACTAAAAATTTTCTTCACAACAAAGAAA